GCGGCACCGCTGCAAGAACACCGAGCGCAAAACCAGCCTCCAACAACAACAACAACTACTACTCGTAAAAGTTTTACACCCGTGAAAACATTGCCAGAAGTCGAGGCTACGCGAAAACGGAAGCTACAGTCGCCTCTTGACGATAATTTAATCGCCTCGCGAAAATGGAAATAAACGAGACAACTTTTCGAGTCCTACGCGTATGAAAAAGCTCTCCTTTGTTTTTAAACTGTGATAATCCTTTTTCAAAATTTTCACTATAAATCTTGTTGAACTTAATATTTAACAAAAATATATAAGAAATGTTTGAAAATTTAGGTCTTCTAAATCCATGCAATTTGCAAAGATGAACATAAAAAGTCCGTATACGAAAATTTGCTTATACATATAGAAATCTCTCATATAAATTCTCGTTACGAGGCTTGGGCTGTTCCGGACATTTTTCTCGAAGGTCTAAAAAGGCGTAATGGGAAACGAAATTCTCTCGGTCCGTCGTCCATTAAATTTCCGCTTTCTATGTACATAATCGACGAGGGCACGCGGAAATAAATACAGCTTAAAAAAATGGACTTTTGGAATAAACGGAAGCTACGACCACGGTGTTAGATCAAAAAGCGGACGTATTCTTAATATCCTCGCTAATATTTACTCGGCATCGCGACGTGCATTTAGAGCACCAAGAGTGGTTCTTCATGTTCTACGTCCCTCTCTGTTCTCAGTTCGCTGCTGCATCACGGTTTCCACCGGATGCAGCAGGAATTTTTATGTGCTGCTTTCGGTGTTGCTTTGGAAATGCAATTAGATCGGGAACGGAGAACGAACGATTGTCGAGGGAGGCGTCTTCATCCCGAACAAGTAAACTCGAAGTCGGATTTTATCGTCCTTCCAAAAGTAAGTAATATAATATATAATGCAATATCCCGGGTTTGATCCCAATAGGCTTTCGTATTTCCAACGAATGAAAATATCATTACGTCCACGTCGAAAGTAATTTTTTGCAATAACTTCAACGGGAATTCTTAAATTTCTCAAATGGACCAATGAAGTCGGTTTAATCTCGTCTAGAAAATTTCAAATTTTAATATCTACTTTAAAAGTTCTCAGCACAGGATGGAGGAACAGAAAAAGTGGTAAGATTGGAGGAAAAGACCGAGTGGAGACCCAAGATAAGGACTTGTTAGTAGCTCTAATTGCGCACTTCTCCTCAGTGTTGGAACCGGCATACGGCAGAGACAAATTACTCTAAACATTTCTGCTCTACACCTTATTAAAATTTCTCACAATTTACAACAAAGAAATTATTTCACATGAAATCTTTCATATCAATTTATCTCCAAATTGATATAAAGCCAAGAAAAGCCCGGTAAATACAGGGATGGTGAAATAAACTTGTTGATACTTTCCTCGAAAAAAGGGGATAAAACAGTAATACACGTTAACCAGTGTGAATAGCGTTCCCTTAAGAGACCCTTAAAGATAAATCGGTTGACATATTTCAAAATGTGGGTGGATCGCGCCCCACGAATCTCCATATAATCGATAACAAAAGAAATTGAAGTTAACAAAATTCCTAGAGTACAACAATTGATCACACTAACAATCAACGTGTATCCAGGCCAGTATAATGTTTCCCTTTGTAACTTAATGTAAACGTCACTCAACGAAGCACTGTAGACACGGTCACAAGGCGTAAACCGGTTATCGAGGCCCGAACAAGGACCAATTAGTCCGAGCACATGCTGTTGTCTTAACCTGGCACGCTCGAAACGCTCGAAACGTATACGGCATACAACTCGGGGGCTTCGCGATCGAAACGCGTACTCCAAACAACTCTCTGGCTTTGATTAATGCGCCGGACGGCGTCCCCAGGAGATGCAAACAAGCCATGTCATCATCATGAGAAATCCGGAAATCGAAAATTATGCCATTTGCATCCATCATCCCGACTACGCTTATTGAAAACTAACAAAGCCATGTCGAGGTCATCTGTCATCTGTTCGCCAAGTTTATCAAAGGTAAGTATCAATATCAATGTATAACAGGAAATTTCCTATACGTCAACTCCAATGGCTGAATTTGAAAGGTTTGGTTGGCAATATTACATTTTCAACAAAAATAAATGAACATAAGGACGACCTATGCGAAGTTAGCCCCCAATTAGATAGTATTTTACATGTATAGTGTTTTGATTATAACAAGAGAACCAGTCAACCGATTTCGATAAACAATGTCTCATTCGAAAGCTCAATCCTTGGCCAATTTCGAAATGCCCGATTCGAAATCTCTCTCGAATTCCGCTAAAACGCCAAAATAATGAGAAGGTACACGAAAATAACACAAAAATGACCTTTTTTAAGTGGTGATAACTCGTAAACGATGTACCCGATGATCAAGATCTATACCTCATTCGATTCGTCATAGTTTCTTCTATCGAAATCACAAAATGCCCGATTTCAACTCTCTCCCGTTAACCTTGCAGAGCCCACGGAATGACACCGTGTTCGGCTCGTTGTTTACGCACTTATGAACGCCCGAAAGTCTAGCCCCCAATATAAAAAAATTAATTTAAACTAAATCGACTATAATAAGAGAACGGTTTGACGGATTTTAATGTTTTATATGTCAATCGATAGCTTTCGCCTGGCTGAATGCAGTTGTCGAAATGCCCGATTCGAAGTATTTAAGGATTTTGATTAAAACACAAAAAACGAATTAATCTAACACAGCAATTATCTTCTTAACAAATCGACCAATTTTAGTCATCAACATCTCGATCGAAAGTATGATCTACAATGAATGCGAAGGTGGAAATGCCCGATTTCAAAATTTATTAATTACCTGCGTACGACTATTGAAATGACCCCGCGAATCTAACGACTGGAAATCTTAGCCCCCTATAAGAAAAAATTAATTTTGATTACATTCGCTATAAGTAAAGAACGGTTTGACGGATTTTAATATTTTATATCTCAAATGAAAGCTTACGTCTGGCTGAATGCATATGTCAAAATGCCCGATTCGAAATATTTAAGAATTTTGAATAAAACACAAAAAATTAATTAATCAAATAAGTCAATCATCTCCTTTATTATTTGACCATTGGAGATATTTGAACATCTCCATCGAAAGTATGATCCATGGTGAATGCGAAAATGGGAATGCCCGATCTCTAAATTTGCTAATTAAGTACGTACGGTTGTTTAAACGACTCCAGTGACTTTACTGCCTGGAAGTCTTACTTACATAAAAAATAATTTTTTGTAAACGGATTATTACTAGAGAACAACTTAATGTGAAAATGTTTGAAATATTCTACTAATCATAATAAAGTATGTAAACAAACGAACAAAGTAATAGAGTGGTTTAAAATGTATTTGTACTATATTTTAACTATTTTTGGTTTTAGTATTTCTACCTTTAGTATAACTTATTGTTGTTCTTACTAGTTTTCTACTCTTCTTTTTCAAATTTTATATTTTTAGCTGNAGTAATAGAGTGATTTAAAATGTATTTGTACTATATTTTAACTATTTTTGGTTTTAGTATTTCTACCTTTAGTATAACTTATTGTTGTTCTTACTAGTTTTCTACTCTTCTTTTTTAAATTTTATATCTTTAGCTGCATATAGTTTCACACAAAAAGCGCCCCAACCCATAACTTTGTTGTTTATATTGAAATATAAATAAAGTTTTCAGGGGAAAGGTGCTGATTTACATTTGTTTCAATTTTTACAATTCTTTTAAAATTTTCTATTATATCAGAGAGACATTGTTTATAGAAATCGGTTGACTGGTTCTCTTGTTATAATCAAAATACTATACATGTAAAATCCTATCTAATTGGGGGCTAAAAAAATTAGGGGCTAACTTCGCATAGGTATAAGGATGATATGTAATATATTCTGTATGAATTAAGTGTTATGAAGTTGGTGATAAATGCATACTGAATGAATCATAATGAAAAACATAAGTTAAGTAGAAAGTTTTAAGCCATTAATTAGAAAGAATAAGATGAGTGATCTGGTTAGTGCACTATAAAGTATAACAAGGTATATTTGATTTTTAAAGTACTTTTCCTCACCTTTAGAGTTATTATGTAAAGAGTAGGTAATAAATCCCTTTTATTTCCATAATGTTTACATGCACAGAAAACAGTCAAACAAAAGTACCTTTATAATTAAGTAAATAACATTAATTAATTAATTACAATACCAATAAATTTACAAATTCAAATACAAAAATCAAGTACAAAATAAAAAATGTTAATAAACATATTTCTGAAATATTTTCGAGAAAAAAATCATCTAACCTGTATAAAAGCTTTCGCGATTAAGAATTTTTTCAATTTTTGTTTTAAATACATGTGTTGGTAGCGCTTTCCAATTAAACGGTAAGTAATTGTTCAGTTTTACAGAAAAATATAAAACCAACGTGTTTTCCCAACTTAATTTGATATTTCTTTGTTTCAGTGTTTGATACATTCAATCATAGAGAGGTACACAATTGAGCAGCGCCGATTAAAGCCTTTTGCGAAAATGGGCGTTCAAATCAAAATGCATTTCGTGCAGTTCGTGATTTTTTTGGTCAGCATAATCGACTAAATGTGTCCACAATAGGGAGAATTGTGTACAAATTTCAGCAAACCGGGTCTGTAGGAAATGTGAAAACACCCATTGCTGTTGTTCGCGATAGTGTGGCAGAAGAGCCGTCAACCTCGACTCGTCGTCGTGCCCAACAATTGAACATCTCACGAACATCACTGATGTGAATTTTGAATAAAGATTTGAATTTACACGCTTACAAGGTTCAATTGACTCAAGAGCTGAAGGCTACTGATCATTTCAAGCGTCGTCAATACGCCGAATGGTTGGTTGAACAGACAGAATTGAATGGTGACTTTACAAAGAAAAACGCTAGGCGGAGTTTTTGATCGCAAAAACTGTTGACAATACGGTAGGATTAGTGGGTGCGGCGATCAGACACAAAAAGTAACTAACTTATTACTTGCAATATTTCGAAACTTTATTGTTTCTTCTACAGGCAATTACTAGAAAAAACCACCGAAGTTACTACATGAAAAAACAACTTTTAAATTTACTTACATCATAGTTAAATTAAATCGGGGTAGTTGAAGTTCATCAAAACAATTCTTGACTACTCATTAACACCAAAAAAGCCACAATCATTTGACCATTACAAAATGGATGAAAATTAAGAACTTAAAACGTGTATGAAACGATAAATGCGTCAAAAACAATTTTTTTTTTAAACCGGCTAAACAACTTTGCGTCTGCGCATCATCCACCAATCCAATCAAGTATATGATTGTGGCTTTTTTGGTCTTAATGAGTAGTCAAGAATTGTTTTGATGAACTTCAACTACCTCGATTTAATTTAACTATGATGTAAGTAAATTTAAAAGTTGTTTTTTCATGTAGTAACTTCGGTGGTTTTTTCTAGTAATTGCCTGTAGAAGAAACAATAAGGTTTCGAAATATTGCAAGTAATAAGTTAGTTACTTTTTGTGTCTGATCGCCGCACCCACTAATCCTACCGTATTGTTTACAAAGAAAATCATCTTCAGCGACGAGGCACACTTTCACCTTAGTGGATTCGTTAACAAGCAGAATTGCCGCATTTGGACAAATGAGAATCCACGAGTGATTGTTGAAAAATCGATACATCCACAAAGAGTGACTGTTTGGTGCGGTTTATGGGCTGGCGGCGTCATCGGGCCGTATTTTTTCGAAAATGAGGTCGGCCAAGCAGTTACCGTGATGGTGTTCGCTATCGCCAGATGATAACGGACTTCTTGTGGTCAGAAATTGAGGCTATGGACTTGGACGACATGTGGTTCCAACACGATGGTGTCACTTGCCACACAGCCAACGAAATAATGGCTCTTTTGCCCGAGAAATTCAATGGCCGTATTATCTCACGTCGTGGCGATGTTAATTGGCCGTCAGGATCATGTGATTTGACACCGTTGGACTTCTTTCTTTGGGGAAATTTAAAAGAAAAAGTATACGTCAATAAGCCAAGAACAATTCAAGAGTTAAAGGATGAGATAATTCGGCACATTAACGACATTGAACCTCAATTATGTCTCATAGTTATTGAAAATATCGACCATCGGATAGTCTATCGAGCATTTGGCCGATATTTTGTTTCACACATAATTGTCATAGATCCTTCTGTCATAATAAAAAATATTAAGATAATTCTCTGAAAACTTTTTGTTTTATTTACAATTAACTTCGTGTGTTTTGGTTGGACCACCGTTTAGAATAAACAAACATGGAAACACACTTCTTCTGAAGGATGAAAACACGTTCCGAAGTTACTGCATTTCCCCATAAAATAACTCCATATCTCAAACGCGATTCAACACACGCATAATAAACATTTAAAGCGACTCTTGCACCTACATATCGTGACACTGTTCGAAGCGCAAAACATGTTCTGGATAAACTAGTTGTCAACCCATCAATGTATTGACTCTAGGAAAGGCGGCAGTCCATCTTTGAACCGAGGAAGGTCAACTCCTGTTGATAGGTGAGTAATTGTCCTCCAAACATTATTTCCATCTCAGGTGTTTTATTTGCAAAAATCATAAAAGTTGATTTTGCTATGTTGAGCTGTAGATTGTTTCCTAACAACCATTCGTTTAGTTTTGTTAGATTCTCTCTGGCCATTCTTAAGACTACTTCCTCACTTTTTTCAGATATAACAGAAGTTGAATCAATACCAGTAAACTGTCAAGTACATCAGGCAAATCTTTAATGTACAGAAGAAACAAGAAAGGTCCCAAGACTGACCCCTGAGGTACACCCTGAAATACTTCTTTCCACTCAGATCTAATTTCGCCTCCCGAATCGCTGTGTGACACAGCACACTGGTTTCTGCCGTATAAATAGAATTTTAACCAATCAAGGACAACGCCGCGGAAACCCATTTTTTCCATTTTATTCAGAAGGATTTCATGATTCACACAGTCGAATGCTTTTGTTAAGTCCATATCTAACATATATGATGATATCATGTTCATTGATACCTGATGTAATTTTATCAAGTATCTGAAAAATTGCACGTGACGTTGATCGTCCTTTTATATACCCGTTTTGGGAATCATTTAGTACTTTGTTTTTAATTACAAAATCCATTATTCTTCTCAATGCAATTTTTTCAAATATTTTTGCAATATTTGAATAGGAGGAATAGAAAAGGACAAAGTGATAACATTACTCAATGGTTCAGAGAGAGAACTTCAAAAAGGCCACCGGAATCTCATCAAAGCCTACCGCCTTTGTATCATTTAAAGATTGTATTATTTTTTGAACTTCTATTACATCACTTAAATAAAATGCGAAAGTTTTAGATATTTGTAAGTTTCTTGTTCTTAAGGTGTTGTTCTTGATATCTATATCATTTTCATACACTGGTCGAAATACGTTTAAATCAAAATAATTATGTGATTTTTTGCCTCACAGGGGAGGCATTAATGGTTGTCCACGTAGCTTTAGCTTTATTTGATGCATTTTCAATATGGTTAGTATACGAAGCCGTTTTTGATCTTTCAATTTCTGTCTTTAGGTACTGACAGAAATTTTTATAGGCTTCAGGTAAAGAATCCTTGTTTTTTTTTTCATGAGATTTATTAATAACCGTATAATTTATCGTCGCCGAATAATTTTTGTGATTATATTAAATATTCTTTCAGCATTATTTTGTATTATATGTAGTATATCAATAATATAATTTCGATACATTAACAAATGAGGTTTGTCCAAGGATTGCTGGTATTCAAAATGACCACAACATCAATCGATGAGTCATTTTTCCATTACACTTTCAAGGTCAACTGCTAAATATGAAGAGGCTCCAAATACATAAAAGTGTGGGACACCACTGATAGCTATGGACGTCATTGCAAGGATATCTATTCGTAATAAAACTATACATTTTAGTACTCATTTTTATTTTACTACACTAAAAAAAATTTTTAAACCTTGTCTATTCCTTACTTGTTTTCCTCTTTCATCTACTTTGGAACAGTTAACAGCGCAACGTCCTTCACCAATTGGTTAGACTGTCTATCAGTTAGACGAAAAGGGTTTGGAAATTCCTTTGTAGGGAAATTTTCTGACTGTTGAGCGATTATCTTTTCTCTAAATAAAGAGTTATTTGAATTCCACCGTTTTTTAAACAACACTACACTTAAGCATTTCAAAGTGCTATCATAAATGTGAAAACATTTTTTAATACTTTTTCCCCTACTTTCTGGTAATCACCAAATGCCGGTCAAACGCCCATTTTAATTGGGCGTTGTGTACCCAATTCAGTTTGCCCCATCATGCAGCTATGGACAATGGATTGTAAAAACAAATCTTTCTTACTTCGCCATCTCATCATTATGATTTTCTCTTTTCTATACACACAATATGTATGTATTTACGCCGAATCTCAATCTTTCGAGTGACATGTACTACATCTTATTTTAAGTACGGCCATATTTTGTTCAATTTGGGATTGGGGTCGGTCGATTCAAAGAAATCACCGTTATTGCTAAAATGCAAAAATTTCTTTAGCAATAAAAACCATCTGACACAACACAAAAATTATAAAAATATTCTCAGTGCGTTGATTGCCTTTGGATGCCACTATCAGTCGCATCAGTTGCTATTATTTATCTTTACAATTATTTACTGCTTTAGGAAAGCCTCATGTCGATGTAAACTCAAATGGTGGTTGCAAAACTTCTTCTATACAATTTATTTCTATTTCTGAGAACCTGTTTTCTACTTCGTTTTCATGTTCATCTTATGAAGCAGAAAAATTCTCATTAAACAAAGGTTAAACAAAGTTGTGAGCGTATACCTCTTTGAGAGAGTCAAGCACGTTTACATTAATTCTTACATAAAATATACGTTCATAACGATATGAGGGACGGGTTGTACTTAAATACTCAGCCAATCCTAGACATAATAGTTTAAATTTTAAACCCTCTTACCACACGAAATCAAAAGCTTTGGCATATTTTCGAATTCCCTTTTGACAATCTTAGTAATACATAATAATTGACGAATTCTTGAATAAGCTGGTTGAAATCTAAATTGGAAATCCAAATATTAATATTTCTACTTTTTCCAAGATGCCGGGAAATAGCCGATTTTTATATTTAGTGTATGGTCATGCCCCAGAGCTTCTTTCATGAAACTCATCTAAATTTTTGCACGCTATCAGCAACAGCCAAGGTTTTCGAAGATACATGTAGGACGAAAGTTGGCTAGAGGTAATCAGCATAGCATTGGTATCCATCTTACTTGATTGTACAGATCTTTTTGTATTTTTTCAATATTCTTTTGGTAGGTTAGGTTAGTACATACATTGGTAGTTGTCCATAATACTAAGGAGATTTTGATAGCAATTATTTCGTTGAGAAGTTCTTGTGATAATTTGAGAGAGTGTCGAGTTTTCTTTTATTAAATAAACTATATACTTAAACTGTAAATTACAATTTCTACGAACAGGTTTAGTTGATTTAATTGATGTTTGAATGACTTCCAGAGCTGAGTGTCGGAATCTGCAAACCTCTCTAGGAGTAGGAGGTTTAAATGTAAGAATTTGGCACCAGAATCTGCATGTTGTGTACAGTTAACAAGATTTTAATTTGGAATTTAAATCATCAATTAACGTAAGAGGCCCTTCTATATTGTTTATATAGTTTATACATATCGGTAGGAGCAAAATTGAAAACAGATTTTTGAACTACTACTGAATTGCAGTTTTAGAAGAGTTTTTTCAACAATTTCCAGAAAGGTACTACTTAATTCGCAAGAATTATGTTTGATTTAGCGTGTAGTTATAATCGCGATGCCTCCTAAAACAACTTGATGAGACTCTCTAGTTCTGTAAATAGTATTACCGGGAATTCTTTAATTAACAGAGCTTCAGTAATACATACTATATTTCTGATGTATCGAGCTAGAAAAGCCGTGATAAGATTCTATATTTCTTTTTAATCCATTTGCATTAAAATTTGATTGAGATGTTCTCGATTCTGTTTGCTAGCTGATTTTGTAGACTATGATTCTTCTTTTCAAGTTGTATGATGTACGGAGTAGGTATGTCTCTACATACCGAGTGTATTGCGGAACATCCCCTT